AATGAGATTTCCAGTTAGCTGTTAGGCATTAATGTCATTGACATTTGCTCTAGACATATCATTACTGAGTTTTAGATAAAAGTAGAGGAGTGTTCAATGGGTAAAGTCTAATAGTTTTTCTTTTTGGTTCAGAGCTTCCTCGTCCTTTGTTTGGCTTGACCATATCTCTTCAGGAGATTAGGGGATTAGGCATGAGTCTACTCAAAAGACACCTTCTTAAAACAGTAGCCTGGTTCAGTTTGTAGAACCCTGTCCTGAGGGCCATAGTTAGAAAATGTGGTGACTACTATTGGGGACATCAAGACTTACGGGAAAGATCAGACATGTATACAAAAAAATCAAAAACACTTAAAAAGAAAAATATTTTAAAGAAACATCTCTCTCTCTCTCTCTCTCTCTCTATCTATAGATATAAAGATATGGATATATCACAGGGAATATAGATAGAGTGATTAGATACATGGAATTAGCTTGTTAAAACTAGAAAAGATGCATGTAGAATTTAGTTAGGTTAAAAAGGAGGCAGAGATTGGAAGGGAGATGAGGACATTTCAGGTAGGAGAGATTCCCTTTAGGAATATTCACAGATCAGAAAATGAAAGTGAGATTTTTGGAATAATAACAGAATTGGCTAACTTGGATTAGTAATTAACAATTTGCCATAGCAACAGGAGATAAGATGGCTTATCTTCTACAGAAGGAGATAAGATGACTTATTTTCTACAGAAATAACAAAAAAAAAATTCCAGTACAATATTAAAGGAAGATGACATAGGAGTTTGACGGGGCTTAGTCACGTAATCAATGAACAAATACATCCATAGCTAACATAAATAAGAAACTATTAATAAAGGGACCTTTCCTAATGCATATACAAAGTAAGATTATTAATCAATGATAGACAATAAAGGGAGTTTGTTATTTCCTATTTCACTGATTGGAAAAGAGTTATCCTACAGGATTTGAGAATGTTTCCTTTTAAAAGAAGGAACAAATTTGGAGGAATAGAATGGTGAGAATGTAAAATTTAAGTATTAATATGGAAGGGAAGTCACATGAGTAAACTGATGCTCTGGCAAGATTAACCTTGAGGGAATGGAGCTTATATGAAAAAAGTAAGACTGGAAGCAGAGATCTCTGGAAGTCCATTACAATAGTGTAAGCATTATGACCAGGCATCAAATTAGGGTGAAGACAATGGAAATAACAGATATTGGTGATATAGCAAGAAAAAAGTAAGTTAAGAAACTTATAAGTTTCTTCTTCTTATAAGAACATCAGTCATATCAGATTAGGGCCCACCCTAACGACCTCATTTTAATTTAATTTAAATTTAATTTAATTTTCTCTTTAAAGATCCTGTCTCCAATACAGTCACATTCTGAGACACCAAGGGTTAAAACTTCCAACATATGAATCTTGAGGGGACATAATTCAGTCCATAACAGGTGAAGAGGCAAGTTTGGGTCCAGGTGAGGCATCTAAGTGAAAGTCTCCTGAGGAAAATGTGGGACTCAGGAGGGAGACTCAAAGCGAGGAATGTTAGATCACATTAATTAATGAAAGTAAAAGGC